ATTATACAGAGTATATTCTCAGACCACTATGGAATCAAACTAGAAATCAACAACAGAAAGATAATAGGAAAATCAATAAATACTTGGAAAATAACAAAGCACTGCACTTTTATACAATCCATGGGTCAAAGAGCAAGTCTCAAGAGAAAGAAAGAAATACATGGAACTAAATGAAAATAAAAATAGAGTATATTAGAGTCTGAAATGGAGCTAAATTGCTGAGAAGGAAATTTATAGTACTAAATGCTCAAATTAGAAAAGGGGAAACATTTCTAATCTGTCGTCTGAATTTTCACCTCAAGAAACAAGAAGAGGTGAAAGCTAAACCTGCAGCAAACCAAAGTGAAGAATTAATAATAAAGAGCAAAAATCAGTGAAATTGAAAACAGAAAAATAACAGAGTAATTAGTGAAACAAAAACCTGGTTCTTTGCAAAGAACAATAAAATTGACAAACTTCTAGAAAGTCTGCAAAGAAGAAAATAGGGAATACACAGATTACTAATATCAACAATGAGGCAGGGAATAACACCATAGTACCTACAGATATCCAAAGGATTATATGGGAATACTGTAAACAACTCCACACATAAATTTGACAACTTAAACAAAATGGGTCAATTTCTCAAAATTACAAACTACCACAACACACCTAATATGAAATAGATAACTTGAATAGCCCTGTAAATTAAATTTTCCCAAAAAAGAAATCTGACTGAATTGGTTTCACTGGAGAATTCTACCAGATTTTTAACAAATTATTTTCAAACCCATATGTTGTACAACTGAAACTAATATAACATTGTATGTCAATTATATTTCAATAATAAATTTTTAAAAAATTTTAATGTAATCTCTACACCCAACATGGGGCTCAAACTCATGACCCTTCAGTCAAGAGTTGGATGCTCTACTGACTGAGCCAACCAGGCACCCCTCAATAATAATTTTTTTAAAAACAAATACATAGAGTCTGTCTCAAATCTTTTAATTTCCAACAGTGCTTTACACGGGCACTTATTGTGGACAATAGATCTTTAAATTAAAAAAAAAGAATTGCCGGGGCGCCTGGGTGGCTCAGTTGGTTAAGCGACTGCCTTCGGCTCAGGTCATGATCCCAGAGTCCCGGGATCAAGTCCCACATCGGGCTCCCTGCTCAGCGGGGAGTCTGCTTCTCCCTCTGACCCTACCCCCTCTTGGGCTCTCTCTCTCACTCTCTCTCAAATAAATAAATTCTTTAAAAAAAAAAAAAGAATTGCCATCAATTCTACACAAATCTTTTTCAGAAAATAGGAGAGAACACTTCCCACTTCACTCTATGAAGCCAGTATTACCCCAATACTAAAACCAGATAAAGAGAGTATATAAAAACAGTACTTCAGACCAGTATCCTTCATCAATATCAATGTGAAAGTTCTTAACAAGATATTCATCAGTAGAATTCAACAATATATAAAAAGAATTACACACCATTGCCCAGTAGGGTTTATTCCATCTTGCAAGACTGGTTCAATATTTGAAAAATCAGTCTATGTAATCTATCATATAAACAGGATAAAAAAGAAAATTAATATGGTCATCTCAATGGATGTGGAAAAATATTTAACAAAATTCAACAATTCATGATAAACTCTCAGAAAACTAGGAATAGAGAATTCCTTCAGCTATATAAAGATATAGTTCCTTCAACTATATGAAGATATAAAGATGTTCTTTATCAATGAGATAAAGAACATCTACAAAAACCTTACAGCTAACATTACAGTTCATGGTGAAAGACTGAATGTTTTTCTCCTAAAATCAGGAGCAAGGCTAGTTATGCCCTCACTGCTGCTCTTCAGCATAGTGTTGAACTTCTAGCCAGCATAGAACGGCAAGAAAATGATATAGAAGACATACAGATTGGAAAGGAAGAAATAAAACTGTCTGTCCCTAGTTGTAGATGACATAGTCTATGTAGAAAATCACAATCTACAACAAAATTCCTAGAACTAATAAGTGAGTTCATCTAGGTTGTAGGATACACAATAAATATACAGAAATTAATTGTATTATATTTCTGTATACTATGAATATGAGGAACCAAAATTAAAAAAATACCATTTATAATTCCTCCAAAGAAAATGAAATACTTAGGCATAAATATAACAAATGATGTTCAAGATCTGTATGCTGAAAATTATAAAATGCTGATGAAAGAAATCAGTGAACAACTACATAAATGGAAAGACATAGATCTCCATGCATTGGAAGACTCAACATAGTAAAATGTCAATTCTCTCCAAATTGATATGCAGGTTTAACACAATTCCTATCCAAATCCCAGCAGGATTCTTTGTAGATATATACAAGATTATTCTGATATTTATATGAAAAGACAAAGGAACTAGAACAGTTAAAACAGTTTTGAAAAGGAATAAGTTGGGAGCAATCACTCTGCCTTGATTTACAAGACTTACTGCGTAGCTACAAAAATTAAGACTGTGTGGTATAGGTAGTGGTATAGACACATAGAGCAGTGGAACAGAATAGGGAACCCATAAATAGCCCCATGCAAGTAGAACCAACTGATTTTTGACAAAGCTGCAGAAGTACTTCATTAGAGGAAGGGTAGTCCTTTTAACAAATGGTACTAGATGAATTGGACATCCATAGGTGAACAAGTACCACACATCTAGATTACTGTCTAAAATATATAAAGAACTCTGAAAACTAAGCATTATGAAAACAGTCCAATTAGAAGATCAGCAAAAGAATACAGACATTTCACTGAAGAAATTATACATGTGGCAAATAAAGACATGTAGACATGTAAAGATATTTAACATCATTAACCATTAAAGAATTACAAATTAAAACCACAACAAGATATAACTACATACCTATCAGAATGGCTAAAATGAATAATGGTGTTAATACAGCATGCTGGATTGGATGTGGAGGAACTAGATCACCCATAAATTGCTGGTAGGAATGTAAAATGGTACCACTGCTCTAGAAAATAATTTGGCATTTCCTTTCAAAACTCAAAATAGACTTACCGTGCAACCCAGCACCTTCACCTTGGGGCATTTATCCCAGAGAAATGAAGACTTATTTTCATGCAGGAACTAATAAACAAATATTCATAGAAGATTTTATTCATAATGGCCCCAAACTGGAAACAACCCAGATGTCCTTCAAAACATGAATGGTTAAATTGTGGTACATCCATACCATGGAATACTACTTGGCAAAAAAAGTATTGATATGTGCAACAACATGGAAGGATCCTAAGGGCATTATGCCAAGTGCAAATGCCAATCTCAGAAGGTTGTATACTATATAGTTGATTCCATTTATATAACATTCTCAAATTGACAAAATTGTAGGGATGGAGAACAGATTAGTGGTTGCCAGGGATTAGGGATGGTGCTGTGGGGCATTGGGTGTGACCATAAAAGGGGTAGCATAAAGTAGATCTTTGTGGTAATTGAATAGTTCTGTATCTTGATTGCAGTAGTGGTTCTGCAAATCTACCAGCGACATAGAACTATACACAAAATTATACCAATGCCAACTTCCTAGCTTTGATATATTTTTTAAAGATTTTATTTATTTATTTGACAGAGACACAGCGAGAGAGGGAACACAAGCAGGGGGAGTGGAAGAGGGAGAAGCAGGCTTCCTGCCAAGCAGGGAGCCTGATGCAGGGCTCAATCCCAGGACCCTGGGATCACGACCTGAGCTGAAGGCAGACACTTAACGACTGAGCCACCCAGGCGCCCCCCTAGCTTTGATATTACAGTTGTTTTAGATACAACCTTTGGGGGAACCTGGGTAAAGGGTACAAAGGACCTCTCTCAACTATCTTTGCAACTCCTTGTAAATCAATTATTTCAAATTAAAAATTTTGTTAAAAAGAGCACTGTCAAAATTGTGGAGCATGCATATGAAGTAGACCAGACAGGATGAAGTCAGGGACAGCAGTCTGGAAGCTCTTGTCAGGTGATGAGATCTGAACCTCTGCAATATTTGTTGTGATGAAGAAAAGGGAACAGATATAAAGGATAATAAAGTAATAGAATCAGCAGGACCTTGGAAATAACCAGATGTGTAGGAGGTGAACGAGAATGCAGACTGTGGGATGACTTCCAGGTTTCTAGCTTGGGTAATTGAGTAGATGCTTGACGTCTTAAGTAAAAGAGGCCATAGCTTAAGAGCCTGAGGTATACCAGAAGTAGACAGAAGCCATGTTTTCCTCATCTGTTAAACCTTCAAAAATCTAAAAGATGTTGGTTTTTGGAGAATGTTGTGAAATTTTTAGAAATCTTTTGGAGTGTCCCATAGTCTGTTATGAAGCCAGATATTTATGTAATTCTTCCTTGGACTTCTTTCCTTACTAGCCTGGTACATTTACTTAAATGAGTTTCTGTGTAATTAACTGTGTGACTTTGAGCCTTTATTTCTTCATCTGAAAAATGAACACTATATTTTATGATAAAATAGATATACTTCTCTCTCAGGATTAGAGTTCTGAGTTCTGAGAAGTAAATGAGATTTACATTTATATGTAAAGTTCTTAACATATCAAGCATCTGATAAGTGTTTACTACTCCTTCTGTTACTACTGCTAACAATAAAAATTACAACAAAAAATAAAAAAGTTGTTGAAATGTGACAGATCCTGTCAACTGTGGCCAGTTGCAGAAATGCTCAGACATTCTCTAGAGCCTGTTTTTCCTCAATTTCTGCTTTCCAGTTCCTTCAGTGATCCTCAAAGAGTGGTCTGCCTATAAAGGGAAGTCACCTCAAACCCCTGAGCTGGTGTCTGCACTGACATTTCGGGAATGGACTTGCCCAAACCTCAAGAAGCTCTGGCTAGGCAAAGCAGTCGAGGACAAGAACAGAAGGATGCGGGCCTTCCTGGCCTGTATGAAGTCAGATACACCCAGTATGCTCAATCCAGCTAATGTCCCAACCCATCTGCTGCTCATGTGCTGTGTACTCCGGTAAGACATGTGACAGGGAGGTGGCCAGTTCATTTCTCTTTTACTTTTTTCACATTTCCTTTAAGCATGTGTTTTAATGGTGTTTTGGGATGGGGAGGTTTTTGTTTTATGTTTAGCTTAGAATTCAGAAACACTGAAATTGATTGCTACAACAGTCTCCTCACTTCATGATCCTCTGTCAACATCAGTTCACGCATGATCTTCGTGAACTTTTATATTTGGTTTTATATTTGGTTTTTGTCCCCTTCAGTCTTTATTTGTGATCTAATTCCCTTCTCTTCCTGTAGTTATCCACTCTTGGGTATTTGGTGTGTGTCCTTCCAAGCCATTTTCCATGTATTTATTTAGACATAAGTGTATCCTTGCAGAGTCTATAGTGTTATTTGTATGTGTAGATTTTTTTCTCTTTCTTAACATGGAAGGTGCTCTACATCTCATTCTATTTCTTATTTTTTTCACTCTGTTATTTTTGAGATCTATCCATATTCATACATGGTTCATTCCTCATGACTGCTGGATTATGTTCCATCAGATAGTAATGTCACACAATATTTATTGTTTTCCAGTTCTTGAGTGTTACAAACAGTGCTGCAGGAAATACCTTCATAGATGTCTTTGTTTCTTTGTGTTCCTGTGTCAGTTTATCTGAAGTATATGCTCAGGAGTAGAATTCCTGGATCCTGTAAGATATGCATATAGGGGGGCGCCTGGGTGTCTCAGTTGGTTAGGTGTCTGCCTTCGGCTCGGGTCGTGATCATGGGGTCCTGGAATCGAGCCCCACATGGGGCTCCCTGTTCAGTGGAGAACCTGCTTCTCCCTCTCCCTCTGCCTCTCTCCCCCAACCCCTGCTCATGTGCTCACTCGCTCTCTCTCTCAAATAAATAATAAAATCTAAAATAAAAAAAGATATGTATATATATTTTTTTGCCACATATTGCCAAGTTGCTCTAGATCATTTCTGTACTAATATATAGTCCTGTGAACAACACGTAAGGGTTTCTCTTTCTTCATAGTATTGCCAGTACTGATACCACATAACTTCTTAATTTTTGCCAGCCCAGTGAACTTCAAGTAGTATCTTTTTTTAAAGATTTTATTTACTTATTTGTTTGTTTGTTTAAGAGAGGGGTGGGGGAAGGACAGAGGGAGAATCTGAAGCAGACTCTGCACTAAGCGCAGAGCCCACCAGGGGGCTGGACGGGGGCTAGATCTCACAACCATGAGATTGTGACCTGAGCCAAAACCAAGAGTCAGACGCTTAACCCACTGAACCACCCAGGCACCCCTCAAGTTGTACCTTTTATTTTACTTTACATTTCTTTGACTATAGATGAGGTGAGCTTCTGCTTTATACATATTAACCATTTGTTTTCTCATTCTCTGCAGTGCCTGTTTATTTTACCTTGCAAGTTTTCTCTTAGGTTACTTGTCTTTCTTGCCGATCACAGAAGTTTCTTGTCAAATGTGTGTATATGCATACGTATATAGCAAATATCATTTCTGTATCTGTGTGTGTATATCAAATATATTTTCCAGTCACAGTTTAAAAACTATGTACAATATTTTATTGAACACAGAAGTGTTTCATTTTCACCAGCTTTTTTATTGTTGTAACTTCATACACACAGAAAAGTTGGAAGAACAGTATGGTGAATACCCATATGACCACCACTTAGATTCTATAATTAATATTTTGCTACACTTGCTTTATCCTATATAACTGTCCATCTGTCCACCTCTAGCCAGCCATTTATCCATCCTTTTGGATGCATTTCCAAATAAGTTGCAGACATCAGTATACTTCACCCCAACCAAGAAATATTTAAGTTTGGTTTTGTCACACCCTTCAACTTGTATCCTTGTGGTGTGTGCTTTTGAGCTCTTATTTAATAAATTCTTCTCTACCCTTGTGTCATAAAGATACTTTTCTACATTTTTTAATAGTTTTATAATGTTGCCTTCCATGTCAGGTCTTTAATATAGTGCGTATTTATTCTGTATATTCTGTAAGAAAGGTGATTTCATTTTCTTTACATAATAAGCTAGTTTTCCCGACTGCATTTATTAAATGATCTCTTCTTTCTCCATTGATGTATATTACCACCTTTCTTATGTACCAAATTCCTATATATTCATGAGTACATTGCTGGATTCATTTTTTTTCCATTGCCTATTTGATCTCTGGCCAGGATCACATTGTTTCAATTATTATAGGTTTTTAATTTGCCTTAATATCAGGTAGGGCAAATCTCCACTCTGTACTTTTCTTGTGTCAGACGTGTACTAACTGTTTCTGAACCATGTGATCTTTATTCTTCCACATATAATTTAGAATTAGTCCAGTTTCCACAAAATCTTGTTGGGATTTTTTGGTCAATGAATTGAATTAATAGATTAATTTGGGGAGAGTTGACATCTTTATCATGTTAAGTGCTCCCATCCAGAGATCATAGTTTACCTCTTCCTTTATTTAGGTCTCTTCCTTTATGTCTTAGTAGAGTTAGTTTCTTTTCCATAGAGGTCTTCTGCGTTTTAAAGTCCTAGGTACTTAATGTATATTGTAGTGATTATGGATGACATTCTGTTTTCTATTACACTTTCTCATTGTTTATTTGCTGATGTAGAGGAAGTAAATTTTTGTGCAGAGAAGAAGTCAGTCTCAACAAGTCATCAAAGGGTTACAGAGCACTGACCTTTGAAATTGGATGGACCTTAGTTTGAACTCTGGCTTTGGGACTTTACAGCTTGGATAAATCATTTTAACCTTTTAGAACATCCATTCCCTTACCATAAATGGGTATAATAATTCTTATTTCTCAGGGCTGTTTGAGGATTGAGGTAATGCATATAGGGGCCCGATAATATAATAGATGCTTAATATTTGTTAATTTTCTAACTGCCTTGAGATTAAAATTGGTGACTTAAGAAGTCTTCCCAATTAGAATAATGACAGGATTCATTCCTCCAAGCTTCTAACATGTTTCTGGGCCACAGCCCTGCATTGTCACATATTAACTCTGGAATTACCTGTTTTATTTACCTTTATTCTCAAAAGTACAGTAATAGCTCATTTTTCCATATGTTTGATTCTCTGGATTTTTTGAAACACTTCCAGGAACATGAAAATAAGAATGGCTTATGAATAGCCCTGATAGCTATCACAAAGACTATGCTCTAATATTCTAATAGGTTCCATATGCTTTCCCTGAAGAAAACCCTATAGCCTCCTGCTCAACCTATTTATTCTTAATTTAGACACATTTCTGACAATTTGGTTATCTGATTTTACAGTGTACAACAGATCAGAAGCAGCAAATTGTAAGGGAGGTGAGACGAGGAGTAGGACCTATTCTTAGAACCAGCCCCAGTGACAGCAGTGATAAGTGGCAGCTTAAAAGTTGCCTTTTTTAGGGAAAAAGGTACAAATATTACTCTTAAAAAGACCTAAGAACCCATGTAGTATAGGGGAAACTGCCCTGTATAAACCAGTAACTCATATAAGTTCATTAATAAAGCACAAGGCAATAATCAGTGTTCAGAAAATCATCAAGAACAGGTTCTATAATATTACATGTTATGTACCTGACAATGTGCTAAGTCAGCCTTTTGTGTACAATGCTACTAATCCTCATAATAGTGCTAAAATGTAAATATTATTTATCTCCATTTATAGATGAGGGAACAAAGGCTCAAAGAGAAGTGACTTGCAAAGGTTACATAGCTAGTAATGGGTAGTGTTAAGAGTTTGAACCCAAGTCTCTCCAACTCCCATTTCCTATGCTCTTTAAAAGACAAAATGGTGGAAAAATACAGTCTTAAAAATTAACGTAAAATCTGGTTCAAATTTAAAATTCAACTTTAAATGAAGATTAACTTATCCTAAACACTGCATTGCTCAGCAATGTCAGGTGAAGACTGGGTAGCAGTGTTGAACTGTGGCCTAATTGGGTACTAGGAGTCTAAACTCATTTGCTTCTGCTAACTATAGGTATAAGATACCTCTCATGGAAGTAAAGTAATGCAGGGGAAGTTGTGACTAAAAGTTAATGTTGATGCAGCTCTTGGACAGTTGGCCTAGAGAAATGAGAGTCTATAAGAAAGGTTGGTACAGTTTGAGGAAGGCATAACCTTTACACATATAATAGACACCACTGAGGAGGAAAGGATAATGAACTCTGTCAGGCTTCCAGGAGTGGGGTGCAGCCCTGTTGAATGTGGAGAGGCATGTAACAAGGCCCTGTCATTTGTAGCAAGGTTTCATTCAAATCGCAACAGTTTTCCAGAAACAGAACATGAAATTGGACAAGGTCATACCTCTAGATTCATGGGTAAAGTTGAATCTTTTCTGACGAATAATTCTGTTAAGAAGCAGTGGATTTGTTATCAGCTGTAATAGGGCATTTGAGTTAACCAAGTGCCATCGTGATATGTAAAAAGTAAAGATAAATAAGAACTAGTTCTTGTTCACTTGACAGAATAATTCTAAAGTTTATTGGGAGAAACAAATGAATAAGAATAGCTTGGGATTACAAAAAAGAGCAGTCTTGGCTCAAACAAAAAAAATACCCAAATGTATTCTAAATTTATACTAAAATGATGTGATACTGGCATAAAAATTGACAGGTCATTGTTTTAGAGCAGATAATACTGAGTAAGATCCTAGACATATGATAACTTAAAACAAGCCAAAGGAAGCTTCACAAATCAGTGAGGAATAGAGGAATTTTTAAATAATTGTTGAGAAAGCTATATTGGTATTTGGGGAGAAAACATCAAGTTCGGGCCTTGCCTCGCATAAATTCCAGATGGATTTACTATAGAGATAAAGGTAAAAGAAAAAAGATAAAAGATAGAATAAAAACTAAGTAGTGATTTAACTGATCTTGAGATAAGAAAGGAATTTTTAAATGAAAAGCCTCAAGTCCAGGGCAGTATCAAAAACAATAACAGTATCAGGGAAGGCAAACACCTCTGTTGCCAGTGGCTGCTGTACATTGTGCTAAAAATTTAACTGGTAGACTGGGTAATAAGACAATCATAAAGCGCTTTGATAAGCTGCCTTATATTCCTGGGGCTCTGAAAGGTTGTGTACATCGTAGGGCTACATACATACTCAAGAGAAGCTGGAGAGAGTCCCAATTACATAGACCTGCACAAGATAAAAATAAAAGCCTGACGTCTAACTGCCTAAAATTTTAATGCATGCCCTAACCTACACTTAGATCCCCTTGGCAAAAATTGAAGCTTTATTGGCTCAAGATGTTTCTGCACAACCTTTGACTAATCATTGGCTGACCAGTAAGCTATGCTGATCCAAGGCAGCTGCCTAGGAAGCTAGGCTTAAAAATGAAAAGAAGAGTTAAGAATAAAAATAAAAATCTGGGCAGGGCTATCAGGCAACACTCTGCAGGAGGGACAGGCTCTACAAAATTAGTCTAGACATGTCACTAAACAAACAAAACAACAGCAACAACAGTGCTTCAGGAGGGTTGCTGCAATATATGATTGAAACTGTCCAGTGCCCACAAAAAATTATAAAACTTCCAAAGAAATAATAATATGTGGTTCATACACAGAAAAAAAAAGCACTCAATAGCAACTGTCTCTGAGGGAGTATGCATGTAGGTCATAGTAAATAAGGATTTTTAATACCTACAATAGATATATTCAGAGAGTTAAAGGAAACCATATTTTAAAAATTGAAGTATGATAACAGTGACCCATCAAACTGAGAATAGCAATAGAGAGATAGAAATTACAAAAAGAAACCAAATAGATATTCTGGAATTGAAAAATACAATTATTGAAATGAAAAATTAACTTGAAGGAAGAGGCTCAATAGTAGATTTGAGCTGAGAGAAGAAAAAGATCAAGGAACTTGATGGTAGATCAATAGAGATTATCCAATCTGAAGAACAGAATGTAAAAAAGAATAAAAATGAAAAGAGACTAAGAGACCTATCAGGACATCAGACATACCAACATATGCACAATAGGTGACCCAAGAGAGAGGGGGATGGTTAGAAAAACTATGTGAAGAACTAAGAATTGAAAACTTCCCAAATTTGGTGAAAAACATAAATTTACACATCCAAGATCAAAAACTCCAATCCTCCAACTCGAAGATCCACACTTATTGTTATAAAAGACAAAGACCGTCTTGAAAGAAGCAAGAGAAAAACAATTTATCACATACAAGGAATCAAAAGAAGATTAATAATAATCAAAAGGTAGAAGCACCTGTTTCCACTGATGGATGCATTGATAAACAAAATGTTGTATATACATAAAATGGAATACTATTCAGCCTTAAAAAGGAAGGAAATTCTGACACAGGCTACAACACGGCTGAACCTTGAAGACATTATACTTAAGTGAACTAGCCAGTCACAAAACAATATGGTGTGATTTAATTTATATGAGGTACCTAGAGTAGTCAGATTCAGAGATAGAAAGTAAAATGGTGATTTCCAGGGTGCTGGGGTTGGGGGAATAGGGAGTATTTAGTGGGCATGAGTTTCAAGTTGGGAAGAATAAAAAGTTCTGCACATGGATGGTGGTGATGGTGTAAATGTACTTAATGTACTTAATCCCACTGTAAATGTACAGTGAAAAATTATTAATGTAAATATATATATTTTACCACAAAAGGAAAAAAAGTACATAAGGGATACCTTTTTCCTCTTCCCCTTCCAAAAGGACAGAGTAAGGACGTGGACAAACCCACTCCCCAGCAAAATTGCACCTTATCTGGTGAAAATCATTTTTTTTGATCATTTAACCCTTAGGTATATATAGCCAAGAAGATGAGGTTTCCTTCTCCCAGCTCTCATTCTTGGGTCATGGTTTCACCCGGGGAGGAAAACATTGCCATTTCTCATCAACTCCTGCCCTGTGTCCAGGTAGGCATGGTAAAGAGGATCACCCACCAACCCCCCCACTCAGGGCAGAAGCTCTAATCTAGGGGCAGCATGCCAAGAATACTTGGGGCCCTAATCATTCCCACCCCAGCGCATGTGTAGGAAGGAGTTTCCACACTGGGAGGATCAAACCAAAAAGACTAGGGGCTGCCAACCACCCCACCCTTTTTCAGTGCACACTTACAGAGCAGGGGTGTCACTTGTCACTCTGGGAAAAGCAGCCTCAGTATGGTGCAATGAGCAGTTCTTTTCAGGGAGAAAGTAGGCCATAAGAACGAGGAGCTCTACACCTGCCTGAAGGGACTGTCTCTATTTGGAGCAGAGTATGGAGAATTCCATGCCTAAGAGCATGTCAAGAACAACAGGTATCTTGATGATGGGCAATTAAGAGGAGGCTGGTAGCTCCATGATACATGCAGAACACCAGGGCATCCAGAAGTTTTATAGAGAAAACCAGGGAAAGAAACAGCCAAGAAAAACCCTCCTAGGATCACAGTCAACTCTGGAGATCGGGAAGGGTGTATGCATGCACTAGATGGCACCCACTCCAGAGCAACCGGAACAGGACACAGGACAGACTTCAAAGCATTCCCCAAACCACCCAGAGACCATCAATACAGGGCAGATGCCTCACTGACACAAGGAATTGAAATAACCACCTCTGATCAAGCATCAACTGAACAATAAGCTTCTCTGACCCAGAGGCAACTCCTAGGAAGCCATGTTTAGCACAAAAATAAAACTCATCATTGCCAGACCAGAAGATTGTGAATACCCAAAGTTAGCCTTCTTAGCAATGATCAGAGAAGGAGCCTCCAAACTAATATTCCCTCATTGAATATAGGGCAAAAATGTGTCAACTTCCTGAATTATGATAGCAGCCTTACTCTACATTTATATTCACTGGTAAAAGGTAAAAATCTAACTGGGTAAGAAGGTTTAAGCATAATCTTTGACCAATTAGTGGCTTATGCAGACCTGGGAGGGAACATCTAGGTTGCCAAGCTAAAAGAAAAACAAGTAGAGACATCAGAGGCTGCATCCTACATATTTTAGAAATAGAACTCACATAATTAGTGCAGCCAAGTCACTAAATAAACAAGAGAACAACCAAGTAAACATCAACCAGCCCTGGGCTGGGGGGTGGGGTCAGTATCCAGTGTTGTTACAGTATATTATCTAAAATATCCAGTTTTCAACAAAAACTTCCAAGACACTCTAAAAAATATGCAAGTGTGACCCACTCAAAGTAAATAAAACAGGCTTTTAATGAAGCCTAGATAGTAGACTTAGCAGACAAAGACTTAAAAGCAGTTATTTTTAAAATGTTCAGAGCCAAATGAAACCATGCATAAAGAATTAAAAGAAAACATGATGACAGGGTCTCCTCAAATAGAGAATATAAATAAAGAATAAGTCTTAAAAAAACCCAAGTGGACTATGCTGGAGTTGAAAAGTACAGTAAACCAAAATGAAACGTTGACTAGAGATCAACAGTAGACTTGAACTGGCAGAAGAAAGAAGCAACAAACTTGAAGACAGATTAATACAGACTACGTGGCCTGAAGAGCAAAAAGATAAAAGAATAAAGAAAACTGAACAGAGCCTCAGAAAAGTGCGTGACACCATTAAGTGCACCAACATTCATGTAATGGGAGTACCAGCAGGAAGTGGGGAATTAAAAAATTTGAAAAAAATGGCTGAAAACTTCCCAAATTTGACAAAAAACACATTATTTCATAATCTAAGATGAGATGAGCTCAGAAAACCACACTAGACATATCATAGTCAAAATGGTGAAAGACAAAGACAAAAAGAGGATCTTGAATACTATAAGGAAAAAATGACTAATCACATGCAAGGGAACCACAAAGATTAGATTCTCATCAGAAACAATGGAGACCAGAAAGCAGTGGGACAACATAATTCAACGTGCTTAAATATAAAATTCTCAGCTGCCAACTTTATATCCAATAATACTATGTTTCAAACACGAAAGCCAAATAAAGACATTCAAAGGTAAACTGAGAGAATGTGTTGCTAGCAGACTTCCCTTATGGGAAATACTAAAGGAAGTTTTACAGGCTGAAAGCAAGTAATAACAGACAGTAATTCAAATTCATATGGAAAAACACTACCGGTAAAGGTAATTAATGTAGGTAAATACAAAAACCAGAATAATTGCATAGTTCTTATTTAAAATATAATTGCATCAAACAATATGTATATAATTGTATTGTTGAGCCTATATCATATAGAAATATATTTGACAAATCAGCAAAAAGAAAGTGTATGGGAACAAAGATGTATTAGAGTAAGAAAATGACACCAGATGGTAAATCCACAGGTAGAGAACCAGAAATAATTAGGTTAATACAACAAAAACTATAAATATGTACTTGTTCTCCTCTCTAATCTTTTAAAAGAAGTAAGATTATATAAGGTAATGATTGTGACAATGTATTCTTGGGTTTGTGCAGATGTAACATGTATAGCAATAATACCACAAAAATGAGGGGAGGGAATAGAGCTACATAAGAATAAAGTTTTGATATTACACTGGAATGAAGTTAGTATATATCTGAAGCAGATACTGTTAAGATGTATATTATAAGCCCTAGAGAAAATAACTCAAAAATGTAATTTAAGGGGCATCTGGGTGGCTCAGTCGGTTAAGCATCTGCCTTTGGCTTAGGTCATGATCCCAGGATCCTGGGAGCGAGCCCCACATGGGGCTCCCTGCTCAGGAAGGGAGTCTGCTTCTCCCTCTTCCTCTGCCCCTCCCCCTGTTCAGGCTCACTCTTTCACACACTCTCTCTCTCTCAAATAAATAAATAAAATCTTTAAAAATATGTAATTTAAAAATTATTAAAGGAATTAAAATGTTATACTAGAAAATATCCACTTAAAAGAAAGAAGACAATAAGGAAAGAATAGTGGATCAAATAACACATGAGATACATAGAAAGGAAAATGGCAGGTGCAAATCAATAATAACATTAAACTTGAGTGAATTAAAAATCGAATCAAAAGGCAGAGATTGTCAGATTAGGTAAGAAAACAAAATCCAGCAATATGCTATCCGCAGGAAACAAAGGTTAGAATCAAAGATACAAATAGATGGAAAGTAAAAAGATGGGAAAATACATACATACAAACAACAACCATAAGATTGCTGGAGTGACTGTAATAATACCAGACAAAATAAATATTAAGACAATAAAATGTTATTCGACTATAAAAAGGAATTAACTACTAATTCATGCTACAGCATGGATGAACCACCCAAAAACATTAGGCTAAGTGAAAGGCACCAGTCACAAAAGGACATATATCATGCAGTTCTATTTATATGAAATGTTCAGAATAGGCAAATACAAAGATTTGTGTTTGCCAGGGTCTTAAGAGAGGGGCAAATATAGAGTGAATGGATACAAGGTTTCTTTTGGGAGTGAGTTAAATGTCCTAGAATTAGATAGTGGTGATGGTTATACAACCCTGAGAATATACTAAAAAAAACTGAATTGTACCCATTTAATACACGAAATGTATAGTATGTTAATTTTATCTCAACCTATAAAATAGAAAGGAAAGTAAAATAAATAGATTGCCAGATAACCAAAGATTAAGAGAATTTATTGCTACCACTTGCATTATAGGAAGTATTAAATGATGTCCTTCAATGTGAGACCTGAAACCATAAAAATCCTAGAAGAGAGCACAGGCATCAGACATAACAACTTTTTTCTAGATATGTCTCCTGAGGCAAGAGAAACAAAAGCAAAAATAAACTATTGGGACTACATCAAAATAAAAAGCTGCTGTAGAGCAAAGGAAGCTATCAACAAAACTAAAAGGAAGTCTGCCAAATGGGAGATGATATTTACAAATGACATAACTGATTAAGGGTTAGTATCCCAAGTATATAAAGAACTTATACAACTCAACACCCAAAAAACAAATAATCTAGTTAAGAATGGGCAGAAGAAATGTATAGACATTCTCCAAAGAAGACATCCAGATGGCCAACAGATACATGAAAAGATGCTCAACATCACTCATCATCAGGGAAATGCAAACCAAAACTACAATAAACTACAATGAGATATCACCTCACACCTGTCAGAATGGCTAAAATCAAAAATGCAAGAAACAACAGGTGTTGGTGAGGATGTGGAGAAAAAGGAATACTTATGCACTGTTGGTGGGAATGCAAACTGTTGTGGCCACTATGGAAGACCGTATGGACGGTCTTCAAAAAATTAAAAATAGAACTACCATATGATCCAATAATCATACTACTAGGTATTTACCTGAAGAATACAAAACACTAATTCAAAGTGATATATGCACCACAATGATTATTGCAGCATTATTTATGATAGCCAGATTATGGAAGTAGCCCAAGTGTCCATCAATAGATGAATGGATAAAGGCGTGGTATTTATATACAATAGAATATTATTTAATCAGAAAAAATAAAGAAATATTGCCATTTGCAACGTCCTGGATGGAGCTAGAGAGTATAATGCTAAATAAGTCAGTCAGAGAAAGACCAATACCATATGATTTCACTCATATATGGAATTTAAGAAACAAAACAAAAAGAAATAAACCCCAAACAGGCTCTTAACTATAGGGAACAGATGGTTACCAGAAGGGGGAGGTTGGTGAGGGGATGGGTGAAAGAGGATTAATAGTACACTTATCTTGATGAGCAGTAAGTAGTAAATAGAATTGTTAAATCACTATATTGTACACCTGAAACTAATTTAACACTATATTAGCTATGCTGGAATTAGAATTAAAAAAACAGTACATAAACATGTAAAACAGAAAAAAAATGTCCTTTGGACTGAAAGGCAATGACACCAAATGGATAAGTAATGACCACCTGTAAAGGTAATTTCATAGGCAAATATAAAAAGTTGTATAAATATACTTTTTCTCACTATTCACTTAACTGATCTTTTAAAGATTTTATGTTCTTAGACTTGTAACCAAAAGCACAATTCATAAAAGGAAAAATTAATAAATTGGACCTCCTTAGAACTAAAAACTTTTGCCAGTTGAGCTCTTTTCTTCCCTCCTTCACCGTCCCATCCCCCGCTCAGCCCAGGTTCCCCACTCCTCCCCAGAAGACCCTCCTGCCGGGACTTGGTGCCTGGCACCAGGCGCCCTTGTGGCTGCAGGGCATAGAGTTGGCTGGTACCTGGGGGAGGGGAGTGGGGTAACAGGGCCAGGCCTGGGAAGCCACGTGGCGCTTACAAAGGGAGCGGCTGCAGCCCAGGTGGTCAAGCGTGCAGCAAGCAGGGTAAAGCCAATTGTGCAGAGCTCTGCAGCGAGCAGCCCAGAGAGAAGCAGTGAAGTCCTGGAGCCCAGCCGAAAATGAACTGGTCTCCTTGAGTGGGCCCAAGCCCTGGCGCCAAGCCTCTGTCCCAGCACTGAGGTCTTCCTCATCCACGAATGCTTTGATCCCAGGCTGGATGTGTGCCCCTACTCCTGGGCTAAGGAGAACCTTCTTTGCAGGAAGAAGACGTTTGCTTATTTGGCACATGAGCTGAGCTACAGGCACTGACCTTGGCCCTGGAAACATCAAGATGAATTTTGATCATCCTGAGATAAATGAACATTGGCCTCCAGGCCCAATAAAGTAAACATTCCTCCCATGGAGAATAGTGCTGGTTCCTGAGGACTTGAAGGGCCTGCAGCCCCAGGGGGCTTAGCCAAAAACCAGTTTTGTTTTCCTGCTCTGGAACAGAGTGGCTGCCTTGAATGCCTCTTTCATTATGATTCACACCAACTTGAAGAGAAAGTTCAGTTGCTGTGTGCTGGCCTTTCTCCTATTTGCAGTCATCTGTGTGTAGCAGGAGAAGAAGAAATGGAGTTACTATGATTCCCTTTAAATTGCAAACCAAAGAATTCCAGATGTTGAGAAGTTTGGAGAAATGGTCTATGACTTCAAGCAGCACCCAGAATCCCCACAGGGGCAGCCAGGCCAACAGGCCCCGGGGCCCAGCAAAGACCAAGCCACAGGCCTCCTTCCAAGTGTGGAACAAGAACAGCTCTTCCAAAAACTTTATCACCAGGCTGCAGAAAATCTGGAGGAATTATCTGAACATGAAGAAATATAAAGTGTCTTACAAGGGGCTAGGGCCGGGGGTCAAGTTCAGTGCAGAGGCCCTGCACTGCCACCTCTGGGACCCTGTGAACATATCCATAGTAGAGGCTGTAGATTTTCCCTTCAACATTTCCAAATGGGAGGGTTTCCTGCCCAAGGAGAACATTAGGACCAAGGCTGGGCCATGGGGCAGGTGTGCTATTATCTCATCAGCAGAATCTCTGAAGTCCTCCCAGATGGGCCAGGAAATAGATGATCATGACGCAGTCCCGAGGTTTAATGGGGCACCCACAACCAATTTCCAGCAAAATGTGGGCACAAAAACTACCCTTCGCCTGATGGACTCTCAGTTGGTCACCTCGTCAGGGCACTTCCTCAAGACAGCTTGTACAGTGAGGGATTCCTAATTGTGTGGGACCCATCTGTTTGCCACTCAGATATCCCAAAGTGGAACCGGAGCCCCGACTACAGCTTCTTTGAGAACTATAAGAGCTATTGCAAGCTGCATCCTGATCAGCCCTTTTATATCCTCAAGCCTAAGATGCCTTGGGAGCTGTGGAACATCATTCAAGAAGTCTCCACAGAAGAGATTCAGCCAAATCCCCCATCCTCTGGGATGCTGTGTGACCAGGTGGACATTTACCAGTTCCTCCCATCCAAGTGCAAGACCAATGTGTGCTACTACTACCAGAAGTTCTTTGGCAGTGCCTGCACGGTGAGTGCCTACTACCCACTCCTCTTTGAGAAGAATCTGGTGAAGCACCTCAACCAGGGCACAGACAAGGACATTTACCTGCTTGGCAAAATTACACTGCCTGGCTTCCAGAGAATTCGCTGCTGAGCATGGGCTCCCTGGTCAGGTCCCCTTGCCCTTCTCCACCAAGCCTGGGCAGACCACATTCCTGAATAATCACAGCTTGCACTGTGGGCTTTCTGTCAGCAAGAGTCCCAGGCTCGAGGAGCCCAAAAGCAAGCAGCCAGGTCCAGCCTGCCCTGTAGCTGCAGAGATATGCGAGCCCAAATCCTCCGGCCACACACGTACACACACACCTAGCTTTCTTTCCACAGGTAAATGCAAGCTCCACCTTTCCCACCAGGGCTGCCAAAGCTGGGCTGTTTTCCCCCACTGGAATGTTATTCCCACAAACCAGCACTCTCTATTGTTTGAAATCTGCACCTAGACACTGATTTCATGTGTTGAATTCTCCCAAATTATGATTGTGCCCTGGTATAGGGTGGCTCTGGGGGGCCAGTAAGTGGTACAGGACATAGGAAACATGCTCAATTCTTCCAGAACAAAGTTGCCCCCAAGGACCATGCCCCTGGGAGAGGTGGTGTTCTGTCTGGCTGGCTGGTTTGGTGGATCCTTAGCCTGGGTGCTTATGAGCAAAGGGTCTTGATGAACCCATAGCCATCTCCATATGGAGATGAGAGGCACAGAAGGGTACCATCCTCCAGTTCCTCATAGTTCAGTGGAAGAGAGACAGGGAGGATACAGTGTGTTCATTACACAGGGTTGGAGGAGGGAGGTGTTGTGGAGAGGCCAGCACACTTGGAGGGGCCATACACTTGCTGTGTCTGTGGCTGGAGAGGGCTTCACAGAGCTGGGGCTGTGGAGGAAATTTTAGAGGAAGAGAAGAAACATGTCAAGCAGATATTTGAGTCATTTGAATTGTGTTTTCCTTTCTGCTGTTGTTGCCCGTATTTACTCTCTAAGGTCTGCCTGAACTTAAAGGCTCAAATTATTTTTTGAGGAAACCCTTAGCCCTGTCTGAGGTAGCAAGTACAGCCCCATGGCACACACTAGGCAAGCCAGATGCCAAAAACCGGATTTGTCCAGGCTCACCCTGGCCAGACCCTACCCTATAGCTGGGTTTGCCCACCGTGTCCACTGCTTCCCTGTTGATGCCCACCCTACCCCCTCCTGACTGCCAATCTTGCTTTTCCCTTTGAAAGTAGTAGTTTTCCCCTCTCTCAAATTGCTTTTAAGCATTTTCTACTTTGAGTATCCTGACCTGACAATTTCTTTTGACCTTCATGGGCGTTTTGTAGAACATCTCTCAGGGAGTGGGGCTGTGGTTCCCTAGAATTTAGTCGTTCTCAGAAGTCAGAGCCTTAGAGATCATGACTGATTCTCACAATGTTTATCAGACTGCCGTGCCCTCCACCCCTCCAGCAAGGGAGCAACGTCAGAGTCTCCAGACAGGTCTTGCCACCACGGTCTGCAAACATGCTTCCAGGTAGTTTTGCTACCCCCTCCCCTAGTGGAGAAGCACATTGGAGTAGTCCGGCCCCCAGTGTGGAGAAAGTAAAGGACTCACATAGGGTCAGAAAGTAATGCTGTAGAGCCAGGGCTCCTAGACCCAGGATTCTGGACTCCATGTGTTCAAGGGCCTCTTAAGTGTGAGCTCCAGACCAGCCATCTGGGAGCTGCAGTGCTCACTTGCTGCCCTAAACCCTTGGCTTATATAAGCAGTAGAAGGAGCCCTGAAGGGAGAAGCCCTGGGTTTTCAAATTGATGATCCCCTACTTACTAGCTATTCCACCATGGGCGAATTCTCCTGAGACTGTTTCCTCATCTGTAAAATGGGGGTGATGAGCCTACATCAGGACTGTTGTGAGGGTCACATGAAATATCTGTCCTGGTTCTGTACTTGGCACATAGCAGGTGCTCAGTACATTGTGGTTTTCTTCCTTCCTTCCTTCATTAAGGACCTGCTCTGTGCTCACACCTGAGGAGGACCTTGCTTTGAGGGAGGCCAGAGAGGGGGTCCTGTCCTCAGAGAATTAACTATCCTATCGGGAGACAATAACTACCCTGCCTGGAACACCCAGGAAACCATCCAAGGCAGTGGAGGATGCAGAACACGCCCTTCCTCCTCCTCCCTCCTTGCAACTCAGGCCTGATTCTGCTTGGGAATGGGTGGAGCACTTGGGCCACTTACTGCTGTGTGGAGTGAGTCTTTTCCACCTCTTTGGGCCCATGAATTCCCGGCTTATTTTTTTTTAAATAATCTCTACACCCAATGTAGGGCTTGAACACACAACCCCAAGATCAAGAGTCATATGCTCTACTGACTGAGCTAGCCAGGCAACCATCTGGGTTGGTTCATGTTCTGATGGAGGCACTCATTGCAATCTTTGAATCATAAACACTGAGTGAGTGGAAGGTGGCATTCCATCAACAGGAGATAGATGTTGGTGTAGACACTGAGACTACACTGGGTAGATGCTAACTCTTAATTGTTATTATTAATATAAGGGATCAGATTAATTTAAGTGTGATTCTTGGTCTACAGAATTTTTAATTCTGTGTTTTTTCTACATGGAAACAAGTAAAATGCAAATGAGATAGGGGTATTGTTGGTTTGGTGACATATTTAATATTTGTGACAGATAACTTAAAAATGATAACTAAGTGCTACAGGAAAGTCCCTATCCATAAGGGGTTCTGCCTTCATCAGTAGCCATCTATTCATCCTGTGTCATGAGGTCCCACAATCCTTCCACCAATCACATAAGCTATTCACATTGGTTTGGAGACCTCAATCTCAGAAGCTTCTGAAACATGCCTAATCTAATTCTGAATTACCCAAAGATTATGTAAAATTTTAAAATAAATGTGTTTTTTTTTTAAAAAAAAAACTTTGACCAACTGGAAGAAAGCCCATGTGAATAGGATGAAAAGACAAACTACAGGCTGGAAGAGAATGTTTGCAAACCACATATTCAGTAAAGGACTAGTATCTACAGTATATAAAGAGTTCTCAAAACTCAACAGTAAAAAAAAACCACACACACAAAAACAAACAATCCAATTAAAAAATAGGCAAAATACATGAATAAACATTTCCCTAAAGAGGATATACAATAGCAAATAAATACATGAAAAGATGTTCAATATTATTAGCCATTAGGGAAATGCAAATTAAAACCACAATGAGATGTTACACAGCTATCAGAATGGCTAATATAAGAAATAGTGATGGGGTGCCTGGGTGGCTCAGTCAGTTAAGCATCTGACTCTTGATTTCAGCTCAGGTCATGATCTCAGGGTCGTGAGATCAAGCCCCGAGATGGGCTCTGTGCTGAGGGTGGAGCCTGCTTAAGATTCCCTCTCCCTCTCCCTCTGCCCCTCCCCTCCCCTGCATGCATACACATGCTCTCTCTCTCAAAAAATAAAAAGAAATAGTGATAATACCACATGCTGGGGGGATGTGGAGAAACTGGATCATTCATACAGTAGTGTTGGAAATGTAAAATGGTACAGCCACTTTGGAAAATAATTTGTCAGTTTCTTAAAAAATAACTATACAACCCAGAAATTACACTCTTGGGCATTTACCCCAGAGAAATGAAATTTTATATCCCTGCAGAAACCTGAACACTAATGTTTATAGCATCTTTATTCTTAATACTCCAAAATTAGAAACAACCCTGATTTCTTTTTTTAATTTTTTAAATAGATGAATTGTTCATCTATTGTATACACATACCATGGAATTCTACTGACCAGTAAAAAGCAACAAACTCTTGATAACACACAATAACTTGGATGAATCTTAAGGACATTATGCTAAATTTAAAAAGTCAATCCCAAAAGATTACATACTGTGTGATTCCATTTATATGACATTGTTAAAATGACAAAATTATGGAAATGGAGAACAGATTAGTGATTTCCAGAGGTTAGGAACATAGAGTGGAGGAAGAAGGTGGGTATGGTTATAAAAGGCAATATGAGGGATCCTTGTGGTGATGGAACTGTTATTTCTTGATTGGGTCAGTGTTAGTATCCTGGCTGTGATGTTGTATTACATTTTGCAAGATGGTACCTTTGGGAGAACTAGGTAAAGTGTTCAAGGTATCCTTCTGTTTTATTCCTTAAAATTGCATGTGAATCTACAACAATATCAAACTTAAAAGTTGAATTAAAAACTATGCTAAGGAGGGGCGCCTGGGTGGCTCAATCGGTTACGTGTCTGCCTTCGGCTCAGGTCATGATCTCAAGGTCCTAGGATCAAGCTGGGCATCAGGTTCCCTGCTCAGCAAGGAGTGTGCTTCTCCCTCTCCCTCTGCCTGTCTCCCCAGCTTGTGCTTTCTCTCTCTCTCTTTGGGGGGAAAAAAAAAAAAAAAACTATGCTAGGGAAAGAAGCCAGTCACAAAAGACCACAAAATTCCATTTGTATGTAATGTTCAGCAAGGCAAATCCATGGAGATAGAAAGTAGATTAGTAGTTGCCTTTGGGGTGGAAATGAGGAGTGACTGCACATGAGCATGGGGTATATTTCGGGAGCAATGAAAATACTCTAAAACTCAATTGTCATGATATTGCACAACTCTGTAAATTTACTAAACATCATTAAATTCTACACTTACAGTGGATGGATTTTATGGTATGTAAATTATACCTCAACCGAACTTTTTAAAGGTAAGTTTCTGTATATGTAAAATTTTTGCAAAATAAAAATTTATTTTAAAAAATGATTAGTGTTAAAGAAAAAAGATTAAGACTTGAGGCACTCCCCGACCAAAAAAGGGAAGATATAAAAAGGAGATCAATAATTGTAAGAGCTTGTGTATCCCAAAATACATAAAATTGAAAGACAAATGACAAACTTGGGAAATATTTGCAAGTCAGGACAGTTAGTTTGTCAGTAGTCTCAAACTAATATGGCTTTCTGTTTACAAGTATACCTCGGAGATGTTGTGTGTTCAGTTCCAGACCACTGTGATAAAGTGACTATCACAGTGAAGCAAGTCAAATGAAGTTTTTTGTTTCCTAGTGCATATAAAAGTTGTTTACACTGTATTGTAGCCTGTTAAGTATACAGTAACATTATGTCTAAAAAAACAATATATATACCTTAATTAAAAAATACTTTAGTGCTACAAAATGCATACCATCATCTGAGCTTTCAGCAAATCGGTCTTTTTGCTGGTGAAGGGTCTTGCCTCAGTGTTGATGGCTGCTGACTGATAGGGGTGGTGGTTGCTGAAGGCTGAGATGGCTGTAGCAATTTCTTAAAATAAGACAGCAGTGAAGTTTGCCATTGACTTACTTTCACAAAGAGCAGGTGATTCCCTTGCTACATCCAGCTTCTACATCAGCGCTTGCTGCTTCACCTTACACCTTTGTGTTATGGAGACTACTTTCCTTAAACCTCATGAACCAGCCTCTGCTAGCTTCAGACTTTTCTTCTGAAGTTTCCTCACCTCTCTGGGCCTTCACACAATTGAAGAGAGTTAGGGCCTTGCTCTGGATTAGGCTTTGGCTTAAGGGAATGTTGTGGTTGGTTTGATCCTCTATCCAGACCATAAAACTTCCTCCACATCAGTAATAAGGCTGCTTCTCTTTCTTACCATTCATATGTTCACTGGAATAGTGAATAATTCCTTTAAGAACCTTTTCTTTGCATTTACAACTTGGTTAACTGGCAGAAGAGGCCTAGTTTTCAGCCTGTCTTGGCTTTTGACATGTCTTTCTCACTAAGCTTAATCATTTTTAGTTTTTGATTTAAAGTGAGAGATATGTGACTCTCCCTTTCACTTGAACATTTTCAGGCTATTGTAGGGTTAAATGGCCTAATTTCAATACTGTTGTGTTTCAGGGAATAAGGAGGCCTGGGGAGAGGGAGAGAGACTAGGGAACAGCCAGTCGATGGAGCAGTCAGAACACATACGCACATTTATCAATTAAGTTCATAGTCATATATGGATGTGGTTTGTCATGCCCCCAAAACAATGACAATAGCAATATCAAAGATCATTAATCACAGATCACCATAACAAATATAATAAAGATGAAAACATTGGAAATATTGTAAGAAATACCAAAATGTGATACAGAGACACTAAGTGAGCAAATGCTGTTGGGAAAATGGTGCTGATAGACTTGCTTGATGCAGGGTTGTCACAAACCTTCAATTTGTAAAAAGTGCAATATCTGGAAAGCACGATAAAACAAAATATGCCTGTACTAGCACCCCAAAACAAAAATGGGTAAATGACATTCTCTTCAGATTCATTTGTTTATAACAAGCAAAAGCCATCTCTACCTACCAGGTAGGCCATTGTCATGAAAGGTACACACAGGGAATAGTGCTGGAAAGGCAGAAATGGAGACTGCCCCTACTCTTTCATGGGCCTGTGTCACTCTTTCTGTTTCATCACTCTCGGGATCTTTTAGCTCAAGTTTTTGAGACTCTGGCAAGCCATGGATTGATTTGACTTAGATTCGCTGTCTACTCTGTGTCCAAATAGCCGTCACTATCATAAAGATAAAGCTCTAGATTATCTGAGAAGGAGCTATAAGTAGGACAAGAAAATTAATTGATACGTTTATGATAGACATAGACCAGTCATAGAAGTATATAAGTGTTTGTAAAAAATATGCAACCTTCGGGTGCCTGGGTGGTTCAGTCGGTTAAGCGTCTGCCTTCAGCTCAGGTCATGATCCCAGGGTCCTGGGATTAAGCCCCGAGTTGGGCTCCCTGCTCAGTGGAGAGCCTGTTTCTCTCTCTCCCACTGCTGCTCCCCCTGCTTGTGCTCTCTCTCTCTCTCTCAAATAAATAAATAAAATCTTTTAAAAATATGCAACCTCATCAGTAGCAACAAAAAGATATTTAAATAGCAAGAGACTTTTTTTGCCCTTCAAATCATCAAACATTAATGATAACAATACATGCTTATACACTGCTAGAAGATAGGACAAACTGGTATGGAAAACAGTTTTGCAAAATGTACTGAGGACCTTTAAAATGGACATAACTTTGGCACAATAATTCCAAATCTAAGAATCTATCCTAAGAGAATGAATAATCAGAGATACAGATGAGATATATGTATGTGATCTTTGTAGTATTATTTATACTATTATATATAATATATATTTATAATAAAAGAAAAACTGTTAACAGTATAAGTTTCCACTGTTACGGGAATGTTTAAGTAAACTGGTATACTCACATCATGAATATGCAGTCATTAAAAATCATGTTTTTGATTAAAAATGTCCATACTACCCAAAGCAATCTACACATTCAATGTAATCCCTATCAAAATACCAACATTTGCCACAAAACTAGAAGAAATAATACTAAAATGTAATAATGTATGGGGATTAACATAAGAATAAAAAAAAAATAGCAAAAAAAAAAAAAAAGAAATAATACTAAAATTTGTGTGGAACCACAAAGGACCCTGAATAACCAAAGCAATCTTGTGAAAAAGCTGGAGGTGTGATAATTCCAGATTTCAGGATATACTACAAAGCTGTAGTAATCAAAACAGTATGGTACTGGCACAAAAATAAACACAAAGATCAGAGGAATGGAATAGAGACCCCAGAGATAAACCCACACTTACATGGTCAATTCATCTGTAACAAAGGAGGCAAGAGTATACAATGGGGAAAAGATAGTCTCTTCAATAAATGGTGTTGGGAAAACTGGACCACTTTCTAACACCATACACAAAAATAAATTCAAAATGGATTAAAGACCTAAATGTGAGATGTGGAACCATAAAAATCCTAGAAGAGAGCATAGGCACTAATTTCCTTGACATCAGCCTGGCAACATTTTTCTAGATTTGTCTCCTAAGGCAAGAGAAACAAAACCAAAAATAAACTGTTGGGACTATACCAAAACAAAAAGATTTTGCTCAGTGAAAAAAAAATCAACAAAACAAAAAGACAACCTACTGAATGGGAGAAGATATTTGCAAATGATGTATCTGATAAGGGGTTAATATCCAAAATATATAAAGAACTTCTGCAACTCAACACCAAAAAGCAATCCGATTGAAAAATGGACAGAGGGCCTAAATAGACATTTTTCCAAAGACATCCAGATGGCTAACAGACACATGAAAAGATGCTCAACATGACTCATCATCAGGGATATATATGAATCAAAACCATAGTGAGATATCACCTGTCAGAATAGCCAAAATCAAAAGTACAGGAAATAACAGGTGTTGGCGAGGATGTAAAGAAAAAGGAACCCTGGTGCCCTGTAGATGGGAACTAAATTGGTACAGCCACTGTGGAAAACAGTATGGAGGTTCCTCAAAAAGTTAAAAATAGAAATACCATATGATCCAATAATTCCACTACTGGGTATGTACCCGAACAAAACAAAAATACTAATTCAAAAAGATATATGCACCCCTGTGTTTATTACAGCATTATTTACAATAGCCAAGATATGGAAGGAACCTAACTGTTCATCAATAGAGGAATGGATAAGAATGGGGTGTGTGTGTGTGTGTGTGTGTGTGTGTGTGTGTGTGTGTGTATGAAATGGAATTTTACACAGCCATACAAAAAGATGAGATAGTGTCATTTGAGACAACATGAATGGACCTAGAGGGTATTATGCTAAGTGAAACAAGTCAGACTGAAAGATGAATACCATATGATTTCACTTGTATGTGGAATCTAAAAAATCAAATGAATAAGCAAACAAAAAGCAGAATCAGACCTATAAATACAGAGAACAATGTGATGGTTGCCAGAGGAGAGGGGGTGGGGGCTGGGCAAAATGGGTGAAGGGGAGTGGCAGATACAGGCTTCCAGTTATGGAATGAATAAGCCATGGGAATAAAAGGCACAGCATAGGGGATATAGTCAATGATATTTTAATAGCTTTGTATGGTGATAGATGGTAGCTACACTTGTGAGCAGAGCATAATATATAAACTTGGGGCACCTGAGTGGCTCAGTCAGTTAAGCATCTGCCTTCCGCTCAGGTCACAATCTCCAGGTCCTGGGATGGAGCCCCGCATCAGGCTTCCTGTTCAGGCGGGAGTCTGCTCCTCTCTCCCTCTCTCTCTCTCTCTCTCTCTCCCCCCCCGCCCCTCCCCACTGCTTGTTCTCTCTCTCTCAAATAAAATCTTAATATATATATATAAACTTGTTAAATCACTAAGTGGTACACCTGAAACTAATGTAACATCATGTGTCAGCTATACTCAAATGAAAAAAAGATTTTATTTATTTGACAGAAAGAGAGAGAAAGCGTGCGCATGCGCGTGCACAAGCAGAGGGAGGGGCAGAGGGAGAGGGAGAAGCAGGCTCCTGGCTGAGCAGAGAGCCCGATGCGGACCCTGGGATCATGACCTGAGCCGAAGGCAGACGCTTAACCGACTGAGCCACCCAGGCGTCCCATCAAATGAAAAAAAAAAAAATTTAAAGAAAATGAAAGATAAATGTTTTTGAAAAGTAATTAATGAGTGAAGAGTTCTCATAATGTTGAGTGAAAAAAGCAAGATACAGTATTCTATATATTGAAATAGAGAAAATTGAGGTGCTAGGAAGAAGGAAGCCAAAATCATAATCTTAACAGTGGTAATATCTGAATGGTAAAAGTACAAATTATTTCAGTTTTTATCTTTCATTTTCTTTATACTTTTTTGTTGCTTTTTTCATATTTTCTGAATGATAATGAACTTCTGAAAGCAGAATAAAATCATAAGTATTATTTAAAATTAAAAGAAGCGGAGTAAAAGGGGAGACTACCGTACATTAAGACATATTTAAAACTTAAGTCAGTATGGTATTGGCATGAGAAATAAAAATAGAATAAGTAGGGTAGAACAGATCCTTGTATATATGAGAATTTAATATATGATATGGGGGCTTCACCAAATAGTGAAGGAAGCATTAGACCATAATTGGCTCAGTTACAAATGTTAACCAGTAGTGCTGCTATGGTAGGCACTATCTGTGCTAAGTGCTTTTATGTGCATTTTCTCCTTTACTTATTACAACCTTTTGAGATGTACGTAGTATTATCCCCATTTTAGAGATGAGAGAGGGAACTAAAGCCCCTAGAAGCTGAAGCATTTGCCCAAATCACACAGAAAAGAAGTAGTAGAACCTAGATTGAAACCAAGTATGTCAGACTTCAAGTCTATAGTATTCTTTGCTACTGTGTTCTATGTGTATAAAGTTTATGGCAGGGAGTCCAGAATACAGGAGGCATTTAGTAAATGTTATTCCTATGAGTAACTTACAGTTTGCTGCATATATTGTAATATATAATGTTTGGACATAGTATATATAATAACGTAAATACTACTAATAGTAATCAAGCTGTCTTGTCATTGAGATTGAGGAACTTCTGCGGGGAATTAGTAATCCTGTAGTTTTTCCAGAATAAATCCCCAGTGGAATCATATAATTTAACAAATAACACATGATGAACATCACCAAATATTGGTTGGTTTAATAATTACTATTTCCTGCTGTCTCATTCACTGTCTTTGGACACTGTCCTCTCTTTCTTATAATTCATTCAAGGCTGGCTGATTAGCAGTGTTGGCCAAAAGATGGAGCTAGCGTTTCCTTTTGAATATCCTGCTATAGACTCATTTGTTTAGCAAACATTGAGCATCCATTCTGCCATGCATCATACAAGGGTTAGAGAAATGTGAAAAATTGCAAATTAATATTAACAAGTATAAATCAAACTAACCAAAAATCTCACATCCCTAGGAAATGAAATACTCTTTCCTCTGTGAGGCCTTCTCTGATTCTGCCAGGTGAATTTAGTCACTCTTTCCTAAGAGCACCCAAAACAACCTGTTCAACTTATAAAGTCACATCCCTCTCAATGTATTAGTCTTTCGGTGAGCCTGCCTGTCTCCCACACTTGACTTCTTTCGGAGCTCCTTTAGGTCAGTTTTTCTTTCACAGTACTCAGGATGTGACTGGTACAATTTGGCTTTGGAGGATTTTTGTTGAGGTTTTTTGGTTTGGGTTTTGTTTTTTTTTTTTTTCCATGACCTGGTTGATGCATTCAGTCAGTCCCCTAATAAATATTTACTGATACCCACTCTATGCCATGTACTATGCTAGATAGTTTATAATAAATATGAATAAGAAACAAGACAATAGACAGGGCCAAACAGACAAGGTCCTAGATGTCACGGGAACTCACGTGGCCACTTGAAAGGAATATGTTTTCTTTGTACAAAATCAGTCAAGCATTTGAACCTTATTTGTTGTATTGTTCAAATCTTCTGTGATTTTAAATGTATTTTAGGCATATTTTACATGTCAAAGCTCAATGGTAGTATGCTTGAAAGTCTCCCACTGTAATTGCATTTCTGTTCATTTTCTTCTATTTTTGCCTCATATTTTGCCAACAAAATAAGATGGAAAGATTAAAAATAAAAGAATGGGCAAAATTAAATCAAGGAAGTAAAAATCAAAGAAAGAAACAATAAATAAAATAGTCCCCAAGGCAAAAAAACATTGAGGACAAAGGAGAATATTTTATATTGATAGAGGATAATAAGCTCTGAATTGTGCACTATATAATATAGCATCAAAAAGTGTAAAATAGGGGTGCCTGGGTGGCTCAGTTGGTTAAGCATCTGCCTCCGGCTTAGGTCATGATCCCAGGGTCCTGGGATCGAGCCCTGCGTTGGGCTCCTGCTCATCAGGGAGCCTGCTTCTCCCTCTCCCTCTGCTCCTCCTCCACCTTGTGCTCTCTCTCTCATAAATGAATAAAATCTTTTTTAAAAAGTATAAAATAGATTATAAGGTATGAATAAATTTTCCAAGGGGAGAATGTGTGGACAGGGAAGAGGGTGGAAATTGTTCTTTCTATGTGGCCCAGGAAGATACCTCCTGGAAAGCCCAGTCATTTGGAACTTAGTTTGTAAAGAAGCAACAGGGCTTGTCGGCATGTCCTGCAGTCCCAAAAACACCCTGGAGTTCAGGGAAATGACAGTCGGGCTTGAAAAAAGAGTAATGGCAGTAGGGCTGTCTGTGCCTCTGTGATCGTTCTGGGTGAGGAAAAAGCAGGTTAGAGATTCAAAGCCAGGCTGCCTGGCTGCAGAGCCCAGGCTCTTTCCAGGGCACCATACTGCCTCCTAGTAGTAGTGATGGGATCGGAGTCCCCAGGAATTCATTCCACGTGCCACTCAGAAGAGACCAGCCCTTGCTTTAAATGCCAGCTTTCTGAAGTCTCACACAGCTCCAATAAATATGAATCATCATTGTCTTGTGGGTCTTCAGGAAGCCATGGACAAAGACATAGATGTATATTTTCATCTTTCTCTTCCTCTTTCTGCATTCTTGGTGCCTAGAATATTAAAACATACTCAGTTCATGAAATTCAGGTCAAATACTCATCAGTGAGCACTGGGTGTTATACGCAACTAATGAATCGCTGAACACTACATCAGAAACTAATGATGTACTATATACTGGCCAACTGAATATAATAATAATTTTAAAAAAGAGTACTTATTTTAGTTAGTGAATTTCCTGTCTTGGAGAATGGCCCCATCATCTGGCCATCTGCTCAAGCCAGAATTCTAGGAATCTTAGACTCTTCTTTTTGCTTTACCCCCTTCTCATAACATGCATGACCAAATCCTATGGATTTATCTCCTCTCCTCAGTAGCTCTTGTCTTTGTCCCCTGGTCCTCTCCATCCCCTGAGCCAGTGCCTTTGTTCATACCTCTTCAGCCACAGGTTGCTACAGTTGCCTCCCAACTGTTATCCATGCCTCTTGTCTCTTATCCTATGAGCCAGTCACTATCACTGTCCTGCTGATAATCCTTAAGTGTCTTCTTATATTTTCAGAACCAAGGTTCAAATTCCTTAATACTGTTTTTTGAGACACTTCATGATCTGGCCTTTTTTTTTCCAGTTTTATTGAGAAAAAAAATGATACACATCACAGTATAAGTTCTAGGAGTACAGCATGGTGGTTTCATTTACATATATTGTGAAATAATTACCACAGTAGGATTAGTTACCATCCATCATCTCATATAGATACAAAGAAAAAGAAAAAAAATTTCTCCTGGTGATGAGAGTTCTTAGTAGGAGCTACTCTCTTAACAACTTTTCTGTATACCACACAGCAGTGTTAGCTATAGTCATCATGTACATTATCTCTAGTACTCATTTATCTTATAACTGGAAGTTTATACCTTCTGACCACCTTCCCCCAACCTCCCCTTCCCCCAGTGCCCCCCCCACCTTTGGTAACCACAACTCTGATCTCTTTTTCTATGAGTTCATTTCTTTTTTTTTTTTTTAAGATTTTACTTACTTATTTGACAGAGAGAGACACAGCGAGAGAGGGAACACAAGCAGGGGGAGCAGGAGAGGATGAAGCAGGCTTCCTGCTGAGCAGGGAGCCCGATGTGGGGCTTGATCCCAGGACCCTGGAATCATGACCTGAGCTGAAGGCAGACGCTTAACTACTGAGCCACCCAGGCACCCCTATGAGTTCAGTTTTTTTAAGATTCCACATAGAAGTGAAATCATGCAATATTTGTCTTTCTCTGTCTGACTTACTTCATTTAGCATAATGCCTTCAAGTGTCCTCCGTATTGGTGCTAATGGTAGGATTTCCTCATTTTTTATGGTTGAATAATATTCTGTTGTATTTGCGTATATTACCACAACTGCTTTATCCACTCATCCATCAGTGGTCACTTAGGTAGTTTCCATGTCTTGGCTATTGTAAATAATGCTGCAGTGAACATGGGGTTGCAGATATCTTTTTGTGTTAGTGTTTTCATTTCCTCTGGATATATTCCCAGAAACAGGATTGCTCGATCATATGGTAGTTCTATTCTTAATTTTTTGAGGAACCTCCATACTGGTTTCCATAGTCTGGCCTACTTTCTAATCCTGCCTTCTGTCACTGCAAACCTGCTTAGCTCCAGCATTATGGAACCTGCTATATCATACTGGACTCCACAACCCTGTGCCTTCATGCGTACTGTTCTCTCAACCTAGGACATCCTTTCCCCACCTTTTGTTTCACTATTTTCTACAGGCCCTTTGAAACCCAGCTCCTACTGACTTTTTTCAGCATGACCTCTCTCACT